CGGCGTTCGTTTCACGAAAAGGCAGCACGAGTGCCGTACATACATTTACGCTTAAGAATATAGGTGTGAGTGTTTGCGCTACATCCCTTTTTTTCAATATGCCCAAATGTGTGTGTGACTTAAGCAAACGCTTTCTTGCATGTGTGTGAGCAAGCATTTTCATGTGTATGTATGCGTGTTCGGATGTGCATTCATATGCTAGTATGCCGGATAGCTTGAAGTGCATGCGCTTGTACTTTATGCTTGCGTATTTGAATAATATATGTCGCTTTAGTCGGCTATTTTCGTGCCTCAATGTGTGTGACACAATTTTTTATAACCGGCAAGAAATCGCTTTAATATTTTTAATTATGTAGTTTTATTGAAATCGCTAAAAGTGAGATGAAAGCTTACGGCAAATTTAATTATTACAATTTTACAAACTTAACATAAAATATTCAAAATGAAAAACATCTGCTGGCTGAAACTGAGCTAAATTTCCCCAAACTTCCCACCACACCACAGGTATCATGCCAGCAAATACATACAAACGCCACTGAGGCTGCACTTTTCTAAGCGACACGCCAGCTGCAGTTGCCACACAAACGTGCAACAGATAACAGCATTTCTGGTGTTCATATACACAACTAAAACGCCAAATTTACACAGTTCTATATCCGTTTCCGTTTTGCACCGAAAATGCATTTGTAATTGGAATTTCATTCGCATGCGAAGCTGCTTTCGAAACTGAACTTTTCACCGAGCACAATGCTTTCAATAATTGAACTTGTCATCCACAAAAGCAGGCACCTGCAAACGGAAATGGCAATAGCAGCGGAAAAGGAAACGGATAAAAGCTGAACTATCACTGTGTGCATCGTGTTTAAGGGCAAGGATAATGGAATGGCAAAGGAGATAATACATTTTGATGGTAGCAACTGTTTGTGAAGAGCCCAACTAGTTTCGGTGAACATACATGCATTCGTACATGCATACGCTTATACCATTGTTATGCTTCTCAGATGTCCAGTAGTGACATATACATATACGCTCATACACACAAAATAATTATGTTATGTATAGATGTATGTATGTCTACATATATTATATGTGTGAGTGTATTTTAAAATGAGACTTTGTATCTGGACTATAAATATCCAGTTACAATAGCAAAAAAAAACCTGGAATTTCAATTAAAACATAAATCGCCGGGCGCCTAAATATATGCAATACACACTATTAATGTCCCCTTGCGCTGCGCATGTTCATTTGTGAATTATGCTTCTACGTACATATGTACCTATGCACATATTTAGCAACGCGTTAATAGCACCTGTCTCGCTTAATTCTGTTGGCGGCCATAAATTCACTAAATTATAAAATAATTCTACAAATGAGCATAAATACTCATTTTAATTGAGTTAATTGCATTTTTCGCGAGTGTGGGTGTATATGTGCATATGCATGTCGAAACATTTGTGTGCGAATACGTATATGCGTGAACAAATATGTACCAAGTTCTATGAATTTATTTCGTCGGTTCCAGCATTGCTTAATTCTATTTATCGTAGGCAAACTTTTGGGGATTTTGAAGTTATGTATGTGATGATTGGAGTGTTTTGTTTTTAATTTCCCCTCTTCCGCCTTACATTTTAAATTTAAAAAAAATCAAAAGGTAAGAGTGAGACTTAATTGTTTATATCTATAATCTCATTACCGTTTAGTATTGCATTCTTCCTAATAGTGAAAAAAGCCAAGATCAGGGGATAATTTGTTGTTTTTTTATATCCATCAAATTTTATTAGAGATTCTATTATGTTCTTATATTTTATTTTTATTTGGTGAAAAGGCAAAACGTGTGGAATCTAGTTTTTCATAAACGACACCTAAATATGTGAGCTTCGCCTGCGACGCACTTATATTGGGTAGTCGACAAAGTCTTTTCGTATTTCTAATCAAACTACAAACTTAAAATCTCACCTTTCCAACACTGTATGGTATGATGCAATGTGATTGGTAACACTGGAGATATATGACTGCAACGACCTCTAGTGACAAAATACGAAAAGACTTTTTCGACTACCAATATATAAGCGACCTGATCAGTCACTCCATATATTTGGTAACAATTTACATGCACATCTATACAAAAATGTATTCCTTCAACCTAGTTTAGCAGAGCTTTAATGCCATATACCTGCTGGTGACAGCGGCGCTGTGTTAAATTTTTTTTGTCTTTTTATACAAACTTTTTGGTTAATCCATTTATTTTTAATGTACATATATGTATGTGCGTGCGAAGAGTTACTTTTTTCCTTCTTTTGTATTCGTGCGTGCATTAATGAGCATGTGTGAGTGTGATGAGATTTTTGTTTTTGCTTTTGCACTTGCATTAATCTCATTAAGCCATTTAACCCTTAATTAGTTTAACAGTAATTAACAAGCGACACTTAATTGTGGCTGTTACTGTGTGCTGCCACATTGTTGAAAGTTCACGAATACATGTAATTACTCCGAAACCGAAAAATGCTTGTACTAATAAATAGCGCAGCCGATGCGCAATTTGAAGTACTTTTAACTTTTTATTTTCTTTTAGGAACCTTTGTTTAAATACGCATTGTTGTTGTAATTTTATATCTCTGTAAAGTTGGTCGTAGGTGATGTGAGTGAGGAAAAAATCATACATTCATACACTAGTACATAGTCAAAAATTCTATTTTATGTCAATAGCAATGCTTCAAGCAATTCTCTAGTAATCAAAAATCCGCTTTTGACCAGACAGCCTGCGTTTTTGTTCCGCTTGAACTACTCGATGCAACTCCTGTAGTTCCAATTCTTATTAGGATCTTCCATCCTCTTTCAACTGTCTTATTACTATTAATATATTCACAGTTAAAACAGTACAGATACCTCAACAGTAAATTAGTCTACAAATCTCCCTGTGACGAGCAATATAGACCTTACCTATTATGCCCAAAAAATCGGGCTTCCTACCCAATTTAGTCCTGAGAATTATACGACTAAGAATCATTTCGAAATACTCCCAAAATTTTCTTTTAACGGTATTTTAAAATGATTTTCTATTTATCCATAACTCTTGTTATTAATTCACTTGAATCGTTTTTTCGATTATATTTCATCGGAAATTCAAATTCTCTCAATGAACCGATTGGCGGTCGGCTTCTTTGTTTACTTTACATCAAGTCTCTAACGATCAATTTCACCGAACACTATATCTAATGAACCAATAATGGCCACTGCATCGGCTAAAAAGTGCTTATAGGTTAGTTTATTCATCAGAGCCAAATGTGGATAACTTGCTGCACGAATTTTACAACGATATGGCTTGGACGTGCCATCCGATACCAGATAGACACCAAACTCGCCTTTTGGTGATTCCACAGCTGTATAAGTTTCCCCTGGTGGCACTGCAAATCCTTGTGTATAATATTTGAAATGATGTATTAGCTCCTCCATGCCTTTCTTCATGATTCTTCTCCTCGGCGGACACACTTTATGGTCGTCCGCTTTGATTTCACCTGCTGGCAGCTTATTGAGACATTGATTAATTATATTACATGCTTCGCGCATTTCACGTATACGACACAAGTAACGATCATAACAGTCGCCGTTAACGCCAACTGGCACCTCAAAGTCGATTTCCGGATATGCATCATATGGTTGCGTCTTGCGCAGATCCCACTTTACGCCAGTAGCACGCAAGACCGCGCCGGAACAACCATAATTCATTGCCTCATGCGCTGTTATGCATCCAATACCGATATTACGCATACGCCAAATGCGATTATCTGTAACGAGGTCCTCAAATTCATCAATGCGATGTCGAAAGCGGCAAATGAAGTCGAAGAGGTCATCACAGAATCCGAGTGGCAAATCGTAAGCCACACCGCCCGGTCGTATATATGCGGCATGCATGCGTGCACCCGAGGCGCGCTCACAGAACTCATACAACTTCTCACGTTCTTCGAACATCCAGAAGAGTGGTGTAATGCCGCCGCAATCTAGCACAGCAGTGGCGCAGGCGACTGTGTGATTGGTTAAACGCATGATCTCCGAAAACATTGTACGTATGTATTGCGCACGTTTGGGCACTTGCATTCCCAACAGTTTCTCGATGGCCAAGCAATAGCAGAGTTCATTCGACATGCATGACACATAATCGAGACGATCGAAGTATGGTAGGCCCTGTATGTACATTTTATTCTCAATTAGCTTCTCCGTACCGCGATGCAACAGGCCAATGTGTGGATCGGCAGATAGAACGGTCTCATTATCAAGTTGCAAAACCATGCGCAAGACGCCGTGTGCCGCTGGATGCGCCGGTCCAAAGTTAATGAACTTAGAACGAAAAGAACGATCTATTTGTGGGGGTATTTTACCGGACCAGCGATCGAAGCGTGATGTATCTTTGTCGTCTATAACGCAGCCTTCGAATTGTTTCATGTATTCTGGATCTGGGTACCAGTGCTTTGACTCCTTTCGTTTTAACTTCGGTAACTTGTTAGCCTGCTTCTCAGCTTTTGCTGTGCAAGTTAAACGACGCGGTTCTGGACCGTAAAATTTACACGATAAAATGTTTGATTAATTCTATTTATGTATATTTGTATGTTTGTATGTATGTTCGTTCTTGTTCTTAGCACTTACGTTTGTGATGCGAGAAAAACATTGCCACAGCCATTCTCGCCAGAGAAGATTTGAGAGTATCGCCAAGATCTGGTTTTATCAAAAACCTATTAGTCAGCACCTGCTTCGAGTAGTCCTTTACGCGAGACAGTTGCTTGGAGCTGCGTAATTTGAGTAGAACAATCTCCAAAATATTATTCCAAGCGTTCGGCATTTTTGGTTATTTCTTTTCTCCAAAAAATTTGAGTTTTTTCTTCACAGCTAATTTATTTTTTGGAAGTGAATTGCCAAGTTTTTAAACTCCGAAGAGGATGACTATTCTAAAAGCAGTATATACAGTACTTTTTTATTGATTTCTTTTTTAATTGTATTTTCAGATTTTCGAAAATCATTACCATTTCGCTCATCATAAAGTCTCTAAGCGTTCACTGACACCTTCGCAGTTGCATCAAACACGCCTTGACGAGGATTACAGAGTACAATGGGCTAGGCAACAGCAGGCAAAGTCGCGTCAGAAGCGTGACTACATACGTATGCGCCCGTCAAGGACATCGTCACGTGCACTCTCACAGGTGGATACAGTTCCTCTTAATGACCCAAAATGGGCGCAAATGTGGTATTTGGTAAGTACTAGCTGGCTGGCAAACCACTGTCTTTCGCAATCACTTTGCTCATATTTAAACTCGTTCGGTTCTAACTTGTAATTAGAATCGCGGTGGCGGCTTGGATATGAATGTAGTACCGGCTTGGCAGGCTGGTATCACCGGCAAGGGTATCGTGGTGACAATACTTGACGACGGTCTGGAATCGGACCATCCAGATATCGAGCACAACTATGTAAGTCCAATTCACATGAAACAATCGCAAATTCTTAACATACATTATTTAGGACCCTGATGCGTCGTATGACGTCAACAGCCACGATAACGATCCAATGCCGCATTATGATATGACCGATTCAAATCGGCATGGTACGCGTTGCGCTGGTGAAGTGGCCGCCACCGCCAATAACTCAATCTGTGCGGTTGGTATTGCATTTGGTGCCAGTGTTGGCGGTGTCCGAATGTTGGATGGCGATGTGACGGACGCCGTCGAGGCGCGTTCCCTATCACTCAATCCGCAACACATCGACATTTATAGCGCGTCGTGGGGTCCCGACGATGATGGTAAAACTGTTGATGGTCCTGGGGAATTGGCGCAGCGCGCCTTCATTGAAGGTGTAACCAAAGGGCGTCAAGGCAAGGGTAGCATATTTATTTGGGCTTCGGGCAATGGCGGTCGTGAGTTTGACAATTGTAATTGTGACGGCTATACAAACTCCATTTGGACACTGTCAATATCTAGTGCCACCGAAGAGGGTCACGTACCCTGGTATTCGGAGAAATGCAGTTCCACATTGGCGACCACTTACAGTAGTGGCGGACAGAGTGAGAAGCAGGTGGTGACGACAGACTTGCATCATTCGTGTACGGTATCACATACGGGTACCTCAGCATCGGCGCCGCTGGCTGCCGGCATAGCAGCACTAGTGCTCGAATCGAACACGAATTTGACGTGGCGTGATTTACAACATATTGTGGTGCGTACTGCAAAGCCGGCCAACTTGCGAGATCCAACATGGTCGAGAAATGGCGTCGGTCGCCGCATTAGCCATTCGTTCGGCTATGGTCTCATGGATGCGGCAGCGATGGTGCAAGTGGCACGTAAATGGAAAACGGTGCCAGAACAACAGCGTTGCGAAATTAACGCGCCGCATGTGGACAAGTAAGTTTTAACATTTCGATGTAAAGAACCTATCCTTGAAACAAAGAACTTTCGTTACTATGTAATGAGGTATCTCAATTATTACTTCCTCTTTTACTTTTTAAAGAGTCATTCCGCCCAGAAGTTATATCACATTACAGTTAACTGTAAAGCACTGCTCATCCGTCAATTACCTGGAGCATGTACAAGCAAAAATTACACTGACATCACAACGTCGCGGGGACATTCAGTTGAACCTCAAGTCACCAGCAGGCACCAAAGTTACTTTATTAACATCACGGTAAGTCCGTAACAGATTATATACTAACTACCATTAACATAATTGGAACACCGGAGGGCTATCTTCGATTCGCCAAGCACCAGAGAGTAGCAAATGAAGCTATCAAACAGGCAGCATTTGCGGTGTAACTCTGCACTAACATATTTTCTGACGCATGCGCAATTGTGTTGCGATTCTTTCTTGGTGGAGTAATTCTTCTTACCGTATCAAAAAAACGTTTTAGTAGCCCTTAGTTTTTTTTTCATTCAAACAATTATAGTTTAGTTCAGTTTTTATATTTCTTAAATAAAAAAATGCATTTTCATTTTGACAATATTTGGTCGTTGGAGTCATTCACAATTGTAAAACTAATCCAAAACATGCAAAACAAAACTTGGTAGCACGAAGAACACTTTATCTTTACATACTTTTTTGTGCAAATTTTACTCGATAAATTTTTCGTTGCTTTTATATGTATGTATTTTTTTTTTACAAGAGCAGAGAAACGGCGGATGACATCTAATATTTGACTGGTGAACTAGAACTAATATTAGAAATATGCGCATACGGAGCATAGATTTGTAGAATATTAGTCCTCTAGCTCATTCAGAGTTAGCGGGAGGTGTGAACCGATATATTTTTTATATTTTTTTCCAACTAAGCTTTCGTAGTTTTCAGTAACCATATTTACTACTCCAACAGCTACAAACTTACCAATATTCGTCCAAAGTCGTGTATCAAAAATCAATTTTAAGAACAAGTTGTGTATATTTTTTTGTTTTTGGATTTCTATATACGATATGTGTAACAGTACATAATCAAATATTGGAGATATTGTAAAGATTAGCACTAAATTAACAAAAAACATACAAAATATTCAAATTAAAAAAGAAATTGCCCAAAAAGGCGTACATATTGAAATGCACCCACGTACAAACATGCTCAACAAAGGAATGTCAACAAAAATTTCAAAATACAAATTGTATTGGATGCTGGCGCCTCCACTGTCCTGTCGCCTCGGTCACTCGCCAAGCAATCACATTTGCAAAAAGCTCAGAAATACACCCTAAACATGCTCTTGGAATTCAATTTGCGATTACACATAGGGCACTTTCCTTGACAGCTGATACACTGCCTTATACAGCGCTTGCAAAATAAATGCCCACACTGAGTGACCATCGGCCGATGCAACAGATACGAGTTCAAACAAACAGCACATTGAAAATTTATATTATCCTCACTAGTTCCACTGTTGCTGCTGTTTTTGACGCTATTGCAAAATTTTTTATGCCTCGATTGCTGCCGACCAGTAGAGTTGGCGCCGTCATTTGTAACCACACACGTTTCTCCTATACTAACGGTATTCACATTTGTACCGCTAATTCCACTCGCATTGTTGTCATTGCTGTCATTATGTTCCTGTGAAGTGGCAAGCGCCCCGCTATATGGCCGCTGATATGGCGTGACCGATAACAAGCAAGACTCGCGCCGGTGGCGGTGACAGCGTCGATGCTGGCGCTGTTGTTGTTCACGCACACCGCTCAATAGGTGTTGCGCCAAATTCAACAAATTAGCAATTTGCTCGGTCACCGCTGGCGCATCGGTAGTTGTGGCCGCGCCTGAGGGTATTACCGACGTTGAAGTGCCAGAAGTGGCTGCTACCGGCACTACCTCTGTAACCGAAGAGACGAGACTAGCTACTGCAAGCGGCTCTCGTGTATTATATTCTTCTAAATTTCCAACAATGTTATTTCGAGTTTGGAAACTAGCAATGTCATTTATGTTACCGTTATAACTTGGTTGCAACGAGCGTAGCTGTATCTTCAGTTGAGACTTCGTTTGTGGTTGTTGTCGTCTTAAAGACATTTCTGTAATTTTCTAAACTTATTGGTGATTTTAACTTAATATTTGCTGGAGATTTTGCTGGTTTTGGTTTTCTTAATTTGCTGTTTCTCTTGATATTTGGTAGTACTTAAATATATTTGGATATGAAAGCGTCAGAATTTCTTTTCTGATTATTTCAAAATGTATTCTTAATATTTTTCAATGAGTTTCGTTCCAAAAGCTAATTTGTAGATTGGGAAAATTTTGAAATTAAACTTTTTCAAAAGAATATTTGATAGGAAGGAACGTGAGCTATCGTTAATTATCGATCACTGTTTTCGCAACAATTTCCATAGAAAAGAAAACAATGTGTATTCGTCATTCCATTTCGGATTAAATGAATTATTTATTGACACTAATAAATTTAATTATTTAAAAAGTTTTGGAGGAGCTTAACAATCGCCATCTGAGCTCAAATTATTTGAAATACAACAAAAAATACTTTAGTTTTAAAGACAAATAAGTATTTCATACCTAATGTATATCACTAGATATATTCTTTTATTGAAATATTTATCAATATATTTGTGACAGTCATAAGTCGGCTAACATATCACAGCCTAGACTGTAGGTAACAATGAATATTGACAATAATAGTGTTTATAACTTTATACTTGCAGTATTCATGATGTTTCTCGTTCCGGTTTTAATCAATGGCCCTTCATGTCCGTCCATACTTGGGGAGAGTCGCCACATGGCGATTGGCAGTTAGAAATACACAACGAGGGTCGCTATATGGGTAAGTCACGCTGTGCTATTACACCCACAGAAATCTTACATTTATATACTTATTAACAAGAAGTATGTAAGTTGGTCTAAGCTGAACTAGATAGTTATTTAACTTGCCTAATATTAGTTAACCACTTACTGTTATACATTTACTTACATGCTGCGCTTGTGTGACAATATGACAACATCAAAATAATTTAAATTCTGTTACTAATCCCGAACAACAACAACAACAATAACTAAAAAACATAACAATAAACCTACACTGCTCTAACAATATAACATAACTGTAACTATGCAACCGTGTGTGATTACACAACGAACAAAAACAATTGAACGTTGCGGCGAAAAGGTCACGCGTTACTACGTGAGTGGTCGCTAATATTCTACGGTACTACGCTGCCTATAGACCCCAACGACCCCGTATCGATGCCCCGCGCCAATACCGCCGAAAACACCACGCCAAATTCGAATGCGGCGAGCACCACAACGAACCTTCATCAGATCTACTCGCCACAATATCCGCGCATCTCATCCAATAACGTCGGCGGCAGCAGCAGCAATGCAGCAACTGGTATTGTTGGCGCCATCAACGCCATGCCGGGTGGGGGCGTGAAAATTCCCATTAAATTGCCAACACCGTCGAATAAATCCGTTTACACAGCCGCGAATGGCGCAAATAATCCATTGTTGAATGTCGCTAACGGAAGTAGTAAAAAGCAACAACAATTATATAAACAACAACAACAAATACAACCGGCCGGTTATCAGCAAATCTCAGCAACCTATGGTGTCATATTGGGTTCACAGCTGTCTCTTATACACATCTAGATGTGTATAAGAGACAGTTGTTGAATGTCGCTAACGGAAGTAGTAAAAAGCAACAACAATTATATAAACAACAACAACAAATACAACCGGCCGGTTATCAGCAAATCTCAGCAACCTATGGTGTCATATTGGGTTCACAGAGTACGAAACTCGGCAAGGGGACCAAAGGTAAGGGGAAATCTGGTGAAAAGGGCAATGGCGGCAAGGGTGGTGGTAACAAGTCTTCAGCGAATAAAAAAGAACAACCCGCATCGACAAACGCGAAAAACAAATTCTACCGCATATCGCAACAACAGCAACAAAGTGGGAACGGAAATAGCAAGTCGACCGGAAAATCTTCACAACAAGGCGGGCGCACGAAAGCGCAGTCATCAGAGCGTCTACACGGATATGAAGACAAGATGAGCCGGAAGGTTGTTGGTGAAATAACATCGACGACAACAACTACAACCAATACTGGTATGCGCCCGACCAACAACAGTCAAAACGGTAAAACTTCCATCAAATCCAACTCAGCAAGCTCCAACACCGACTTTAGCCCAGCCATTGTGAACAACGCGGCCAAACCTGCAGCCACTCAAATGACCAGCTATTCGAAGTTACCTGTCAAGGCAACAAAACAAATCAAGGAGTCACTGTTACCCTTGCAAACGCACGAAAAACTCACGGTTGCCTCATTCACAGATACGCGCATTCCGAAGCTTTTCGAACATTACGAGAAAATACAAGCAATTTTTCCCGAGTTTCAACCATATCAGGGCCCAAAAGAGAAAGACATTGCTGCTGCTGCAGCAGCCGCCACAGCGTCGAAAGCTGAAAAACGCAAACTGGCTACCACGGCGGGCATTTCGCCGCTGGAATACGAAGCGGAGACCTTCAGACCAATGTTGAGTGCGGGTAATAGTGGCAGCAGTGAAAGTGTAAACAATAACAAAAACAGCAACAGTGGCGTTAGTGGTGGCAGCGCAAAGCCGTCACGTGAAAATGCCAAAAAGTCCTCGCCCAGTTTTGTTCCCGATCAGCAGATCATCAAGAAGCAGCAATTACTGCTCGCGGCAGCAGGAGTTAGTGGCGGCACGCAGCGTCCCATTGGCGGTGTACTGGGCGTGTTGCCCAACCGCAAGGATGGTGGCAGTAGCAATGGTAGTCAAACGTGTTCACGGAATGCTTTACGTTATCATTTCGTTTTTTCTTTGGCATTTTAAGTGCGATGCGTATTAAAGTTTACTTTTCAGTTGCAATTTTTTTAGTTTTCGTTACAAAGTAGATGATTTTAGAGAGATTTAGTCAGCGCAATAAAGATTATTGTCATTCATAAAAATTGGGTCATAACTCTAGAGAGAAAATTCAAAATTTCCGCTCCCACTTCCGAGTTTTTTACGTACAAAAACATTGGCAGCAGTTTTAATATTGCAATATTGTCTTCATAAAGACCTCCTTTTAAAATTATTACTCGATCTATCAATCGTGGCTTACGGGAGTAAACTCGTTTATCAAGCTGTAAATTCCACTCAATTTGAGGACCATAAAAGTCACTGCATACAAGCGAAACGTCACCTGCAGTCAGCCAACAGCGCAGAGGCATTTTTCAGCGAATATACGCCCCGCTTTGTTAGTATGCAAATGGGAGGAAAATTCTTCAATCCGTTCGTTTTCCAACTGACGCTGACACCACTTATATGTGGGTGCGTGCGTGCGCCATCAATCAAAGACTCTAAGGCAGATCGATATCCCGATTTTTTCGCTTATTGCCAACCATTTATATTGTTATGGCCGATGGTAGCATATTTCGGCCTCGCAATCGGGCTAAGTGCTACAGACATTCGTACCCGATAGCAATCAATCAAACTGCCGGATAGTGACACTGGACTAAGTTCAGCTGCTCTTGTTGAATGCTTTCACATTTCGCCATTTTTCGAATTAAGAGAGACTTGCGACTTTTTGAGTTGTTGAGCTGTAGCCGTAAAGTTTTCATTCGTGATTGTCTGCGAGTATTTTACTATTGAAGTGGGATACCTACAATCCTATGTATATAGTTTGCACTTCTGCAGTCCTTAAAGGCTCTTGCTCAAACGCTCGAGCGATTGCAATTGGCTCTCGAACTCTATTCGGTGCCATAAATTTTCGACTTGCACGCATTTAAAAAATTTATGAGCTTCAGTTTACACTTCTCTTGGAATATGCATTGCATAAGTATATATATATATGTACACACATATTTATCCTGTGCGGCATGGCGATGCATTCATCTCCTTTAAACTTAGTGCATGTTATGTGGCAAATATGAGGTCTTTGTAGAGCAATTGGTTTTTTAAGCAATGATTGCAAAGTTATTTCTGTATTCTGTTTTGTTCCACACTCTCATATTCCTTTTGCATGCTAAGTTTTTAAGCTTTTCTCGAAATTAAAAGGCAATGGAAACAAATTGAACAATTTGCTGCTGCAACTCCACACCCACAGTCATACGTATAGTATTTACAGTTTATTTATATTTTCTTAAACCCAAACACACCCACACTTAGACGCAATCACGTCGTTCAAATTCGAATATATTTCGTATTTTTTTATTTTGTTTAGTAAAACCATAATTTTCGTAGCTGAAATTACTATTTGTATTAATATTTTATATATGTACATATACACATGCATATTTAGTTTAGCTGTTTTTTCTTAGCTCCGTCTATTTCTGCGAAATATTTTTACAAACTTCTATTGAACATTCAATTTGCATTATTCCTTTTATAGCGCAAATCACACAATGGGACTTGATTTTCTATGGCACTGAAACACCCGCCCAACCGGAGGACGCGGTCCATATTAGTGACGGTCTATTTGGCAATGATATGGCCCACAACGACATCGAGTACGATGCCAATTTGCAATGGCGAAATATGCAACAGGTAAATACTCATTGCAATCGATCATATTTAACGCTTTAACGTTGACCCAAACATAAATAAATGTAAAATAATTATTTCATTAAATTTGGATCAAACAAACGTTAAGTATCTCTCTTAGTTAAATATAAATTAACATTGTGCCGTCTTTTACAGAAGTTTAGTACTGAATCACAAGCTTTTTGAATACAATTTTTTTTTTCGTTTAGAATTAATTTGATTTTCAGATCAACTATTTATCGCAAATTTTTTTTTTATTCTAGAAAATCTTTTAGATCAGCTACTACTTTAGTATTTTTTCAATTTGACTCATTTCTTTTCATCACTTTCTTATGACACTATTACGAATCCTGCCTTATAATTCTTCCTGATAGGCAAGAATATCATGATTTCTCGATCTTCGCGTTTATGATATATTGTATTATATCGACAGAGTCGATCTTTCCATCTTATCCCACGGTAGTTGGCACAGATTGTATTGTCTCCCGTTTTGTGGATTGGATAGAGGACACTTGAATTCCAACTTATAGTTTCACTGCCATTCAGCATTCTGGTAAATTGTTCCCGCCATAATTTTGGTATACTCTGGGCATCAGTCCCTAAACCTTCTGTTACTCGCCTAAACTTTTCGTAGAAATTTTGAGCAATACCCCTGTCTCCCAACTTGTCAAGCATTTCGTACTCACGCATTTTGGCCTCTTTTCTTTTTTTTTGTCTGCAAATGTGTCTCGCTTCCCTCTTCAACTCTGGGTATCTATCCCATCCCGCGCTTGTTGTAGTCGATTGTAACGTTGCGGGGTAGGCAGTTTTCTCTCCGCAGCGACACGGCACTCCTCATCGTACCAGCTGCTCTTTTGCATTTTCCGAAAACCAATGGTTTCGGTTGCAGCTGTACGTAAGGAGCTTAAACGCCGTCCCACAGTTCCCTTATACCAAATTGTTGACGAGACCGGACATTCCAGGTACCTCAAATCGTAATCTTTAATTCGTTTGCCATGATCGTCTCTCAAGCGAGGCTGTTTTTCACTGTTCATTGGGGGCGTTTTTTACGCGGAGGATCCCAAATACAGCGCACAACCTTCTGGAGAGGATGTTTCACCTCCTCACTTTAGCTCGTCTTCAAACGCATGTTCTTTGGTCCAGAGGATACTTGGTCATAGACCGGAAGTCGTAAGCTGCTAGAGCCATATGTAAAAGCATCGTTTCTGGCCACTCCCAAGTGAATGGCGATCAGAGAACTTTCCTCTCTTGAGTGAACCTCTACATATGACTCCACCCTGCTTTCGTTGTGGTCATCTGAAAAATAAAACAATGGTGTATTCTAGTCACAACACTAAAACGGCTATAACTTCTGAAATAATTTGAATTTTGAAAAATCCTTTCAGGGAGATAAACTAAAATGAAAAATTCAATTAATTCAAATTTCTAGACCAGACTTAAGCGGGTATAAGTCATCTCAAATTACTTGGGTAAATTTGAGTTATTCGAACCAAATTATTCGAGGTTTAACATCGTATTTTATTGAAATAAAAAACAAAAGATAAGTCAAATAGCTAGCTTACACTAAGCCTATAAAAGTTGCCGAAGTAAGTAAGCCGAAGAGTCCACTGCCAAAGCTTTAAGCTCTGACCTTAACATTTCTTTATCCCCTTTTAAAGATTCGTAATCCATGCAAATTAAAAGTTTTTCAGGAAAATATATTTTTGTCTTGTATTTCAAAGAATATGAAAGTTAAAATACTTTATTAATTGCCTCTAAACTTTAAAGCACCTTACTGAGAAAATATCTTTGTGGCCAGTAACTCCTTGCTGCACATCGCCTGCATTCTTAGGTGCATGCTTCGACTAGACTCTGCTTTTGGCATGTCCACCGCATAACAACCGTCGTACAATTATGGTCAACATGCACACTGTATGTGTGTTGTTGTTGATGTAGCTGCTGTTGCAAGTTTATTGTAAAAACAGCAAACACAAAAATTAACATGGTAGAGGCAAAGGCCAAGCCTTTCGAGGTTCGACTGCAGAGAATTTCAATGTGGCTTCTCGATACCAGCCGACATACGAGGACATTCCAATAGGCATATGTGTATGTAAATGTCTATGCAGAGCTTTGTGGGCGGCTTGTTGTGAGGCGCAAATAACAGACAAATAATACAAGAAAGTGGAGGCGACAAGACTCGAGACGCAGCAAGCTTTCGCCATTCCATCTTTTGGACGGAGGAAAATGCACTTTGCCGAGCAGAAGGGCCTTCAATATATGTAAATGTTGTTGTGGTGGAGCAAAATATAGTTATTGTACCTTCTGCAACTGTTGTCAGTGTGGCAGTGAGGTTTATGAATCTTTAAAATTTACATTCATTTTGAATAAATGCACTTGGCAATGGAGCAATCGCGCGGCTGACTGACTTCTGCATCGATTTGCATACGGCATTGGAGATTTTCCGTACCATTTCACTTGTATAATGTGAAATTATCACTTGGCTCTGAGAAAGTTTTGCAGTTAATAAATATCTCTAAATTAATTTATTTATGTCTTTTTTGAAGTCTCGTTAGTAACGCGAAGAACAACGGGTTCTTTCAAGTTTRCATTGCAAGTATCAGTGCATTTTTTGTCCACTGAGGAGAAAGAAACTCTATTAATGTGAAAACCCGCATAAATTAGGTACATCGCAATGTGAGCTTAACGCCAATTTACATTACCCTTTCTGCCAGCATCCACGTAGCTGTCAGCAATTTTTGTTTGTATGTATGCAGGTTGGTTGAACATACATATGTCCGCAGGCCGACAACATTGGTTGATATCGGTAATGATGCTGCTTTTGCAATTTCATCGCCAGCAGACCACCAATCGAGCGCTGCAAGAAATCATTATTAAAGCAGAAATACAAAGTTTAATATTAGGGTTGTCCACAATCCGAAAGTTGCTCTCTAGTCCGCTCTCTAGTCCGCTGTTTCTGTTCTTTTTCTCAACTTATTACTTGTTTCTTCGTACATGATGAACTTGAACGAAAATAATTTACCCCGCCTCCGTAGTACTTATCAATTCTATTACGTTTGCGTGGTTGGTATCGCCAATTTACTTGACGAAAAACAATATAAAATCGTAAAATAAAATTAGTTTTTTTAGTCATAACTCTGAAATTCACATTCTGACTAGCTCCATTCATAGGTCACCTTCCTACTGAAATAAAAGTTCCACCCCAATATGCATGCATATATGCCTTCGGTTCTCTTCGTAGTATATAAGTATGAAAGGCGATTTTCAGAAATCTGCATTGAATTCATTTTTGGCAATTCCAACTCGTTGTGATGTGCTGACAACATTGCCAGCGGGCAATTTGCCAATGTCGCTCGCTCATTCGACCGCCAAACCCGCTTTTGCTTATCCAGTTCAGTGAGCTGCCATACACAAACGAGTACATGTACCCTGCATTTGAATTGCTCCCATAAACCGGCGCTAGCATCTGTGGTTCTTTTCTCTGCCAGCAGATCTGGTTTAGTTGGTTGAATTAATGCCTGTCGTTGCTGGTTAGTTGATGACGCTTTTTTGCTTAGTTGCAGCAGAAACAAAAGCAAAAAATTAAATGATAACGAAAATTAATAAAGAGCTAAAAAGCCGAAAGCAAATCAATGAAATTTGGTGAAAATAATTATGAAATTTTAATCACTTTTTATGGTCTATTTTATTTCTAATTCCGCTATTTCACCTGGTCTAAAAGTGTGAGATCAGAGATGTTTTTGCCTTGATCTAGGAAAAACGGGACCTTCAAGGAGGAAGTGTTGCGATGATTCTATTTCATCTTCTTCCAAACAACTAATGCAGCTGGCGTCCGGTATGATATTCAATCTTACCTCATGAATCCGATACCAATGAATTTAACTGTATCCAGTTAGAAATCCTACAAACTTTAAAAGATGAATACTGCTAAGAGCGAAGAGTTCCCTAGATCTATTTCGATTTACCTGTGTCTGAAGGACATTGTGACTTTTTGCGGCAGTTAGGCCTCAAATTGTTTAAAGTGAGATTAATTTAGCTCACCGATTGCCTTGCAAGTCCAAGAAGCAACACAAGCAACGATGGCATAAGGCTTGATACGCCACTCTTCCCTATAACAGCGTTAAATTATGTCACTTCATATAGATACATACATACACACGTGTAATTCATACAAATATTAGTAGGGAAAGCAATTAGTATACACAAGGACATTTTGCTTCCATTCTAATTTCTTAAGTTATGTGTTGAATACAATGCTCGCGGGAGACTGCAAACGTCATCTGTCAAATATTAAAATACACACGTTCTTATCGACGAACCTATTTTGACAGCTGCATGGCTACACGACTGCAGGTCGACAGTTGTCGTTCTCGCTAACTTCAATTTAATCCTATATTTGCCAACGACAGCAGGACGACAGTAGAGTTGACAGTAGAATGGAAGATAGAGAGATGAGGTAGAGTGGAGATGCCACTAATATGTAAAATGTAAAATTACTCAAAGCTCTAACAAACCTGACGTTATTTGACAAATAAAAGCATAAAATAGCTCTGTTACATCATTTATAATAACAATTGATAATTTAAAACAAATAAATTTACATATTTACTTATTTTTTGCTCAAAAATTTCACTTTGAACAAAATATTAAAATTTCATTGAAGTGCAAGGTATTAGTATGGCCACAACGAAATTGTGTACATGCAAAATGGACAACTGTTGTTTTGTGTACATGCCGGCCATTGTTGTGTTGCTGTCCTCTCACAAACGTTCATGTAGTAGGATTCACAACGCCATTTTCAGTTCACAGTCGTGCTGCTGCAGTCTGTCGCGGGCATTGTGTTCCGCACATTAAGCTTCCCAGCAAAACAGATAAAAAGCACTATACTCCAAAAACGATCATAAAAACAATAAGAAGCATATACATGTATTAGCAAATTTGTACATAGATATGGCAACAAAATTGAAAAGATATAATAAACTAAAAGTTGAATAACCTACTGCCGCCAATTCATCTGCCACTGGGCACTGCCTTTGCGCTTGTTGCCGTGGCTGCTAGTATTACTATCGCTACACTCTCTGTCTCTCTGCAATCGCCTTTAACTAGTATTCTTTTTATTTCGCTTTTTCAAACGAATATATTCGTATGTCCATATGTGCTGGTTGCAATTTTTGCGTTTCATTAATGGGCAAAAGGCGGCAAATAGAGAATAGACATACTGTATATATGTACATATATATGTACGTATGAACGTGTATAAATAAAGCAAATAAAACGGACCAGACCAGAGTGAAGACAACAGCACGCCACGACAAAATAGCAGGACGCACAGTTGTTGCATTCGGAATACACGAATAAATAAATAAATGATAAACATTTACCACTGCGCAAGTGTGTGGCGGTATGTGTGCCCGCAAGTTAGCAAACCAAAGCCGTAGTAAAAGCGAATACATTATGCGCTGTGACTATGCAGCTAAGTCCCTGGAGATCCTTTAAATTTACGAGTGTATTTAGGAGTTGCATGTATGACACTTGTTGGCGTCTAAGAGCAATGCACACGCGAACGGGACTGGGCAGACCAGCGGGCAAACAGAACGCCATTACATTGCAGACATTTAGTCCAATTTGTAGGTTTGAGTCACGCAGACAGCCCCTTGCAAAGGCAGATAGCCGAAAAATGCGCGCCATTGGTCATGCCATCGTTTGTGGCAGACAGCACGGCAACATGCAACATTCCGTGGCATGCCAAGCAGGCATTTATACGTACATATGTACATATATAAATTGGTGCGTACACCGAAATGTCTGCTTTGCGGCAAAACACATTCCGCTGCAACGCTGGGAAAACACACACATACACGTTTGGCCGAAGCGCCCAGCAAAGTGACCGCGCAGAGTCATTTCGGTGCACTAAAGTGAAAAGCGAACACAAAGTTACCAACTACATATACACAACACACATACCTAAATATATACAAGAATAGCATTGTTGCAATATTTCTTTGCCGCTTTCCCTACAATTTTCCTCACGGCGCTTTGCATTGCTGCAGTTCATAGCTGCTTCGATTTGGCATTCGCGTTTTGGCATTCCCTGAAACATACTTTTCACTTATTAAGTTCCTTCTTAACTTTCGTCGCTTTTTCATGGCTACTTGAAGTTATTCTTTGGTTTTCTGGTTTGTTTGTTTTTGCATTTCATACAGTTGCCTCGACTCGCTTTTTCAGTTGGGCAACCCGGACAGAAGATCCGAAGTTTTCTAACTCAATTACACTCATAAGATTATTTTGACGCGATTTCTCTTAATACTAAACTCATTCTTATTTCTTCATTCTCAGGTGGGTGAATCGAGTGTGATGGCCAACGATAAGACGAATGCGTCGTGCCTGAAGGCGACATCCGACCAAAGATGTTTAGGTTTGTGTTTAATTATCATTTTATTAACACAATTACTATTAAACTTCAATTGCAACAACAACAACAGCAATAACAAAAATGGCAATAGCTAGGCACAGTTGTTAGAACAAAAACAATAACTGAAACTGCGAATATGCAAAAAGTTGTATAAAGTAAACCTGTAAATTGATAGCAAGCCAAAAATTAACAAAAACAAAAGAGAAAAAAAGAAAATTCACAATAATAATAAGTAGACTACAATACAAATTGAGTAAGCCGCGCAAGATTTTTCTAAAGCAAACACATTTTTTCAAAACTTTTATATTGAGATTGAAGCTTAAACAAAAGCTAGTTACAAAAGCACAAAAAATACTAAAAATAAAAATATAACTAGAAATACAGTAGGCGTAAAAGATAAGATGTATGTTTGTAATGTGCGTGTAAGATTTCTTCTTCTAAAAATTTTTTTTAAACATATTTACATTTATTTCAATAATAAATTTCAAAGTGCTGTGTAGATTGATTAAGTGAAGCCAAATTAAAGGGCGAAATCACAACCAAACTACATACATAGATATCAAATTTGTTAAGTTAAGTTGGGTAATACGGGGGATATACTTAAACAAAGCGCTAAGGTAGCAAAACATTCAAAAATTCAAAAATATTTATATATATATAATATATTTCATATATTCAAAAATTTCATATTTTTTAAATTTTATTAATACGAAATTCGCTAAACATACTGACATATTGCTTAATACAAAACTCGTTAATTAGCGGCAAATAATAAGACACCCACTTATTTTGAAAAGACTAAAATTGGAGAGTGTTATACTAGGTATTCATAACTTTAATGCTCTAAAAATTACTAAACTTGCCATATGCGTAAGGTATATTCGCATTTAAGCTTGAAGTGATGGCTTTTACTAAATTTGTAAGAAATTTAAAAGTAAACAAGCTATATTTAGGGCTTTCAAATTTTAACTTTTAGCATTCGAATGCAATCTTGGGATAGCAAGTGGATAACACCAGAATTTCAAAATGTGCTCACAATAAACTTCATTGAAATTTACATCTCTCCGATGCAAGATTTACATATAAAGTAATAATGTTTTCTGTTATGATTATTGAAAAAAAAAAAATTGTAAAAAAATAACTTCATTTTAAAGAGATCCATGCACGTAAGCCTTTTGAATATTGCCTATAAAAATTATTGATTTTTTACTTACAAAGTGTAGTAGCGTGTGTGTGTGTGTTTGTTTTGTGTTCTTGTCCAAATTGTAGTTAGTTGTAGGAAAATAAAAACAAATTTAGGCTTTAAAAATACTCACTTTTCGAAAAACAATAAGTAATTTAAAATTTCCAAGTCTTCCCGCTTCACACTGCTAAACAAAAAATGTCTTTTGTATTTAATAATAAGCACGGAGAACAAGCACTTATTATACAAGTTTTCGCAATGTTTTTGAACTTTTTAAAGGAAAACATGCCAAAAATGCATTTTGCCAACCCATAAAATAAATGAGCGGACGTATTTGTATGTATGTGTGTAGCAGTTTTTTGTAATTTTAATACATGCACAGTAGGACAAATTGTCGAAAGGGCCAACATTTGGAACGTGAAGCGGATAACAACGCCACGCCACGCCACGCAATTCACCAAATTACACTCCCATCTTGCCAACCCTTACATCGAATAGAATTTTCACGCTTTCGTTGCATTGTATTTACTTGTCATTTATCCAACCGATGACAGCCAGTTGAAGTTAGCGAGTCATCGTTGCATTACTTTTATCTGACGAACACATACGGCATATGTATTGTATGTATACCCACTTGTTTTTTAACAACCAACAAATAACCGTTGTTTCAACTTTTTTTAGTTCGAATTAAAAGCACAGACCAACAAAGCCAAATAATCAAAGGAAAAACATGTGCATATCCAAGTTTTTTGCTTGCAAGTTCGCTTCTCTTAATTTTTTCGCAAAATACCTTTGTTTGATAAAAGTTAATAATTTTGCATATTCCATATTCACACACACCTGAAGAACATTTTTCAACCTGAAATTCTACTTTTTATATCAAACTTATTGTTTTTGTAACATTGTTGCTGGCACCGCAACATAAAGTTTACTCTCTTTGAATGAAGAATATTTTATCAAAACTTTCGCAAAACTTTTGCTGAAAAGTAATCAGACTCATTAAAATTTTATCAGTTGCAATTTTTTCCTTCAGATTTGTTAAGTATTGTTACTAAACAATGCTTGCAAGCATAAAAAATAATCTAGGTTGTATTAAACAAATTTAATTGAAAAAAACAAAACAAATTTTTGAATCACAAATAAACTCAACTTGAAAAGTTTTTGTTTTCGCATTTGTCATTTTTCGCTCTCAAAAATAAATTCCAATAACGTTTAAAGATAAAAACCGAATTAAATATCTATAATATATAACTTTTTTAGCCAACGGACTAATATTTTCTTGAAAAAAAATGCTTGAATGTATGTATGTTTATAAATTAAATTATGTGTTGCTGACAATAAAGCTAGCATTGTCCACTCCAATTAGCTTCCGCAAAGGAGGCTAAGGCTAGCGCAGATTAGGGCGCGACATGAAGCAACATGGAAGAGCATGTAAAGCCAATGTAAGCGTCCTACTCTGCTGCGCCTTAAACATGTATTGAAATTTAAGTTTAAAGTTTTCGTATTTTGTAAAATTTCAAAAAAAAAAAAAACAACTCACTGTCCGTTTTTATACGATAAGCACAAAAAGGTGGTAGGGTTTTCAGCCTAAAATTTTGGCCAAATATGTAATATAATGTAACGCATTAAGTTAATATACAGAGGTAAATAAAATAGAATAGGGTTAATAGTAAATTAAAAATACAGATTGAAATGCAAAAATCCGCATAAAAAACTAATATACAAAATTTATGTAAGCAAAAAGTTCCTGCGTTTCAAAGAGCGAACATTTTTAAGCGTCAAGAAACTATAAGAAATTAGAATTAAAATAAAGTAAAGAAACAAAGCGCTCCTGTAACGTATAAAGTAATATTAACAAATATTGAATTTGTTCCGACGAATGAAAGGCACACTTAATATACATATTAATGGCATTAAAACTATTGAAATGTTTTCTTTTTTCAGCTGATTTAGCTAAGCATCACAGAGCGCAAAAAATGTTTTGAACAATAATTTCCATATCAGTATGAATAATAAGTTTACGAATTTGCAATGTAAATTATGAATTTGAAACGCTTCAATACAAAAAATTTTGTAAACTTTGTATTGAACATAATAAAGTTTTTCACATATCAAAAAACGTTTTACATACGGAAAATACAATTCCAAGCTGTATCCATGTATAAATTTGTACAATTAAATTTAGCACTTTAATGAATAGATCTGATTGATTAGTAAAATATGTAGTCCATAATGGCTCAACTAATCCGAAACTCGTTAGAATCTTTTTTTTATATTATAGTATGTCTTGCTTGGAGCATTAAGCAAAAGCTTAAAAAATTAAACCGCAGAAAAAACGGGCTGGATGCTTATTATTTTCTTTTAAAATATAAATATTATATTAAATGTTTTGGGGAATTTACATCGCATTTTAACAACAACAACAACAACAGAGAAATTTTTTACGACTTAGGAATTTTATTCCAAACAATTCACAAAAAAAACACATGGCCGGCTTTCAACATAAAATTCCAAAAACTCTTAGACAGCAGATTCGAAAAAAGTACGAGTCTACGCCAGACTCCTGACTCTTGACAAACTAATTAATTATTTAGTCATACACAGAGTATTGAGCACTGTAAAAAATCCGTTTTCTTTTTCTGAATGTGAGATGAGCCCCAACTCTAACTCATATGAACAATATTTTCTCATTTTTTGCTTTTTTTTTTATTTGGATAACGATATTCAATTTCCTTGCCATTTTTTCAATAATTTTTATTTAATATTTATTCTATAACATTTACGATTATTTTAAACTATTTGACTATTAATTTCAATATTTTTTCTATCAATAAATATGTATTATTCCTTGATAATCGAAGTAACTTGAGTGCAATATTATGAATAATCAAATAACTGTTAATTATGTTTACTACAAATACACATGTGTACATACGTACAAATGTACACGTAATATTTTAATTCAATTGCTTAGATGTAAATAAACGCTCGTCATAATGATATACTTGACCTCACATGTACATACATAAATACATACAAGTAGGTATGAGGATAATTTATAAAGCTGAAGGGGCTATTTGGTTAGCAATTTAGAATGTTTACAATGTTTTTAAATAAGTTTAATTAATCTTTAAATGGGGATGTAATTAATACATTAAAATTTATTTTATACTACTGTTTCAATAACGGTATGACTTAGATTTTAACAGTCAGCTTTTCAAGCCGAAAGCACATATTATTTCACTTATATATATGTATGTATATATACATGTACAATGGAGTTACCGTAAAACATTTGCCCTTTCAGCTTAAAACCCCCACTAAATTTCTTATGCAAAATTTATTTTTTATTTACTTTTAGTTTTATTGAAGGCAATAAAGAATAATAGAAGACGATATTACGACAAGTCTTTACAATTACTTTTTTTAAAAGCAGTTATGTTGTCAACAAATAAAAGCAGTCATTAAGAAATTACTGAATTATTTTTCCGTAATATTTCACTAAAAAAATGTATCCAAAAACTAATAAATTAAGTTTAATTATTCAGGAATTAGCAAACCTATTTATGTTTTTGTTTATTTTTGTTTACAATTTACATGGTTTTGGAGAGTTTGTCTATGTTTTCCTTCCCATTCCATAAGAATGACGTCACATAAATTTGGTTAACGTAGTCTGTCTTCTATCAATATTGAAAGCATTAAGAAACCTATGTAGCTATGTCAGGTGGCTTGTACACCAACGTTTTCCTCTTTTTTACATTTTGCAAGAGTTAGCTAAACTTAATATTTCCAAGATTTTTTTATTAATAAATATATATTTTTTTCAATTTTATGTTCTGATTTATTCCCACTTTTGCATTATTTTCAACTATTTTAAATTTTTATTGCCTTTTTGTTGTTGTTTTTGTTGAACCTCCACACCCACCATGCCTACACTAAGTAAATAAATGTTATTTATTTGTAATTTAAAACAAAACACAATACTGATAATAAACTCTAGCAAAGTAACAGCTTTAGCAAAACCCATACGCATTTTAACAGTGTTTAGCAAAATAGAGTACCATATTTACAGGATCTGACACACTACTGCTCGTAAAATTTATGCTTTTGTATGAACAAAATACAAAACATCGGTAGTAAATATCTCACTGAAAATATGGCGCTCCATTTTGTTGCACCCTTTATGATATACCAACTTAAAGGATATATTATTCGAATATTGGTAACATTGCTATGTATCGGCGAGCGAGATGAGTAAATAACCAAGCAGTTATACATAAATATGTATGTACATACATACACAAAATATATAAATGCGCGTTTAGAGCAGCGTTGAGTAATAGTAAATTAGTAGCACAATTTCAACTTTTTTTAAATAGTTAATTAGCAATTTTTTATTTTGTTAGCCAATGAAGAAAAGCTACAGTCAATATAACGCACAAATAGGAGAAAATATCAAGTAATTTGTTACTAAAACTTCCCTAAAATGTTAATAGTTAATACATATACCTATATTTAATATATTTTGATTTTGGTATAATTTTGTAGATTTCGTATTTAACCACTTATGAATCATTATTATTGTAGTGATCTGATTACTTTTTTGCGATAACATTTAATTGCGATTTTGTTTTAAGCTACATTTTGTTTATTTCTAATATTAAAATATTGCTAAAATAAACTTTTTTGGGGCGTCGGTACTTATCACTTAAGCAAATATCTTACATACGTACATTCGCACGTACTTTAACGGCAGCAAACAAATGCGAAATATAATAGTTAAACAAAAAGCCAAAAGAAATAAATATAGAGAAAGCAAAAAAATGTAAAATAGAAACCAAGTTAAATAGCAAATGGCGAATAAGGAACAGAAGCGAAGGGCGAATATGGAGCTTATAAAATCACGACCAATTGCAATGTTAAGGCCAATAGAAGACCACAGTATAGGTGTGTTTGTATGTAAGGGGGAAAACAGCGAAGAGAAAAAGCGCCAAAATACGATTATGTGAGGCAAATGAATAAATCAGTTATTTTTTCCTTTGCAGCAGTAGGCAAAGAAAGTAAAACAAAAACATAAGAAATGGGTGTCAGCGAACCCATACATATTTAACAAAAAAAACATGTAACATACCATAATATTGTGTGCACTTAGTATTTAAGAAAAAATATACAAATTAAACACAAAAAACATGTATACATAAAGAACTAAAAAGAAAATATTACTACCACAGAAGAAACGAAAATAAACACAGCGCAGCAACAAATACAATAAATTACATTAAAGAATAAAGTAAATTAAATGAAATAAAAAAATAAAAAAAACAAATAATGAAAATCATAAATGTATGTACGTATTACGTGTAAATATAAAAATGAGTAAAAACGAAAAATTAAAAAAAGAAAAAATTAAATTAATTTTAATTGTAATGTGCAGTAGCTACAGTCTTAAGTAATTGAAAAATTAATAAATAATTATAATCAACAAATGCATAGACAACAGCAAGTAAATCGGAAATGAGAACGATGCGAAGAATAAAATATGTTTTCACAAAATTCATGTATTTTATTTCGTACAAAACATAAATTTGGTACAAAGCAGATATGAAAAAGTATATTTATCAGGTACATAGCGGACCACCAACCAGAGCGATACACACCAAGAAAAAAATGAGGAAAATATTTCCAAAGCGGGAGAGTGTCTACTTTATAAATTTGGACCGAAATATTTCTGCTATTCATAAATTCTGAATATACATAGATGTTCAAAAACATCATTTTTTTTTTTTAATTCCTTTGAAGTTTAAAAATATTCAAAGGATATAAGTTCGATTTGGATTTTAGAGCAGTGAAATCTTTGAAAAATTCAACGATCAAGTTGAAATTATTTATGCACCGACGAAAAGCCTACAAATTATTTACTGTGGCGAAAGTGTCGACTTGAACGGTCCTGTCCTTGAACACGAGGAAGGAATGGCACAAAGGTTGGCGACTCATATTGAGTAATCGTGTTATCAATCACCACTTGTAATTACACCTACTTTGAAGACGCATTACTATCGACCAATGCTATACAAAAGATCCATAAACTATTAGACCATGTATTAATAAGGAGTAGAAAAACTGTGTAGACCGTGTGAATGATTTATTATCCTTTTGCGATTTACTTCAAGGAAGGCCCCATATGTACATACATACATATGTATTAGTAATATGTTTGTAGAGCTTAGAGTTGAAATGCTTAAAAGAAATTTACAAATAGTAGCCACTATCGCAATAGCACTTGAATTTAAACGAATAAATAAGAAAACCGTTAACCACACATTTGGTTAAATGTCTAAGTAAACATAACCAAAAACCACTTTATGCCCTTCAAAACTACAAATCGAAAAGACACATAACTAAATCATTCAAAATAGTCAAAGGTGAGTTCAGTGAAATATTTCTTCTTATTACTATGAAATAAACACGTAAATATTGTTTGTTTTAACTACTATTTTCGCTAACAATGCGCATTCATAATTGCAGCACTAATTAATTAAAATCATAACATTAAAAATAATAAATTTTATTCGCAAAAAAGTAATAAGGAAAGCTCCATGAATATGAAAAACTGCATATACATACATACATAGATAATTCGTTCATGCAAGACATTGTTTTTGCACCGCCAAAATTACATGTTAAGTATGACTTAGACGCACAGCTTTTTAATGCAATTTAATCAATGTACGCGGTTCATGTGTGAGTTTTATTTACATTATAATATGTATGTATATACATGTATATTTATGTATATAATATCAAGTTAGGTGGTAGGCTTAAATTTTATTTCAACTTGTTTGTTCTTGGCCTGTCTACAATTACAATTTCCTTGAACATACTTACATAAATTCGGCTTAATTTTAATTTGCTAATTTTCAGATTTATACACATTAGTATGTACACATTTGTATGTATATTTGTAAGTCTGCGCTTGTTTTGCATACTGCACTTTATTGTATTGATTATTTGTTTTTTTATTGAAAATTAGACATTTTAATTATTTTGTTTAAATTTTTAGTATACCTACAAACAATAGACACAAGCTTGTAAACAAAGTAGAACCTTAGATTTAGTATTTTTATACCAAACATAACCTCTTGCCTTTAAATGATCAACTGTTGCGAAAACCAATTGTGTGGAAGAACTCCGTTATTTTGTCCAAATCTATATTTACATAAAGCCGAAATTTTCGTGTATGTTGCAAGTTTTCTCACGAATGTTTTTGAAAGGATTCCGGATTCAAAAAGTCTTCCGCATAAACAAAGGTCTTTCAATTAACCTCACAAAGAGTAAAACAAGTACAAATTTGTATGTTCTTCTGTGATCATCCCCATGAAAAAAGGTAAACACAGAAAAAGATCTCCACTCTAAGATATGTCAAGAGATTTCGATTGTCGAGAAACGGCACTTTATATAATGGTTAGCTGTAAGCAGTGCTAAATAACTTGAAGAATCTCAAATGTCTTTCTCGACCACTAGTCCACTTATTTCTAACGTTTTCCATGATAAAACCATAAACAGATTCACCCATATTAGAAGAGTTCGATCCCGTATCAATTTTTTATGTTTTTGTGCTTTAATCAATTTTTTATGTGTGCAGATCGTTGTACCGTGTATGTATCAATTTTTGTTAAAAGCTCGCAAAAGTATATTAATTTCTGCTTAAATAGCTGTATTGGAATTGGTGTTGGTATTTATTTTGCATTCGGTTCGGTATCGTTTGTTTTGTGTATTAAATGAAAACTGTTTTTTTTTTTATTTAAACGTCACACTCACATTCATAAAGCGCACACACTTACATCTGTGAACATAAAAATAGCAGTACCTATGGCATTTATTTTTATAATTTCGTATAGAGAAGTTTTTACTTGAAAATTATCAGATAAATCAGTAAAAAATTTTGTAAACATCAAAATTTTAGTAGAAAATGGTAGTTTTGAAAATAACGTCACATTTCAGGTATAAGCACGTGTTTCAATGGTAGTGTGAGGATTAAATTAAGACAAGTTTTGTTATAGTGGGCGTGGCAAGCTATGTACAAATGGTCAAAGAACATTAATTGCACCGATGTTCAAAACTTTTCTCGTTCTTGGCACAACTGATTTCGAATGCCATACATTTTAAAGAATTATTATTATTTTCAAAACTACCGTGTTTTACTTACATTTTCAAGTTTAAACAGGTTGTAGTGATTTATCAGGTCATTTTAAAGTAAAAACTTAAATTTTTTAAGTTGCTGAATATGGTCTATACGAGTGGTCTATACGAAAACCGCGATAGTTACTGCTATTTTTGTGTTCGCATACATATACCCACAGCTTTAAACGCAATTTTCGCTAAAATTTTCTTTCTTTCTTGCTTTTATCCGTGCCAATAGAATGTGTCACGTCCACATATTATTACAATGGCCACTGCTACGAACAATGTCCCATACACACTTATGCCATTCTCAGCGACAGCACGACGGCCAACGGAACGGCGACACTTAGCGACAACATCATATACAGGACGAGTATAACCGACGACGATGAATTACAATCGATCGATCGCAGACGAGAAGCTGTGCGCTTATATGCCGACACGAGTGAACCTTTGGAACCGATACATTTGCGGCGCTGCGACAAATGCGACAACAGCTGTCAGCGCTGCTATGGACCACTAAATTCGCAATGCAGCACCTGTCCGCCTGGCAGCCAATTGCGTAAAATACCACACACAAATGAAACATTTTGCTACATCTTTGCGGAACGTAGTTCGGGTAATAGACTCGATTACGTCTTCAGTGCCAAAGTCGAAACGATTGACAGCGTAGAGCACGATAAAGCTATGAATCCGACGAGCATCGTATACCTGACGCTAATCTTGGTGCCAGCATTGCTCATCATTCTCGTCGTTATGTTTGTTTCGGCAGCACGCCGGAATAATTTACGCATACAGTTCTGGCGAAACGGTAGCACAACCGGAAATATGATCACACTACCGAATATCGGCTATGATCGTGTAGCACTGCTGACCGAAGGCGAAGAAGATGGTGACGAAGCTGATGATGAGGAGGAGCAGGACATACACGGTACAATGCGTGTCTATCGAGATGAGCTGACACCTTGCGTGGGCGCTGAGACGACAGTCGAAATCGATTTGGCCCCGACAATTATTGAAGCCGTAGAAATAAGCGACTCAGAGATTGAACTTTTTGATTCAACGCAGTGTTATTAGTTATAGCTTATGGAATAGAGTTTCTTTTGTGCAGAGTTGGTGTTATTGTCGCTCTTTTTTAATTTATATTTTATTTCTCTGTAATAAATTAAGTCATATTATTGTTGTTTTAGGTAGGGTTTATGGTAATACTAGTAGAGTAGTACTTTTTTCTTTATAATTGTCAATGCGCTTCAATCTACTAATGAAATTTAAATACGAACAAAAGATTACAATAAAAGAGACGAGTACGGTCTTCAAGAGCTCCTAAATAAGACTCATTTAAATCTTATTTAATATGTACATATCATTTGAATTAACATTTCTACACAATAATTTAAAGTTTTATACTATCTTTTCATTTCTAAGTTTGGATGATTAATGTTGAATGAAGAGCTTCCAACACCTTTTTCGCTCTTGGTTGTTAATATTTTAAGGTAAACTAATTATTAAACTTGAGTAAGACTCCTAAACAGAACAATTATTTGCAAAATTGTTGTAAACATTAAAATACATCTATAAACTTAGTAACTTATATATTTAAAAACAATTCCTTATGATTTTAATACATTTCAATAATAATATACTAAATTATATATACGTACATAAAATCTTAAAAATTTGACTCTAATTCGCCCATATTAACAGCGTACTTAAATAAACAATTTTACTCGATAGCTTGGTACACTACTGTGATCAAATTGAAATTGAATTCTGAATTCGGTAAACTCCTCACTATTTAGCAAATTCACATGACCATTCCGAGGACACCGTTTCGACTCAATTGAGGATATTAAAGCTGAATTGAATAAGGCCCTAATGGCCATCGCGACAAGGATTTTTCCAAGTGCTGTGATGACTGGAAAATTCGTTGGCATGATTGTATTGCAGGGCGAACAAGAGAAGAGATTACTTTGAAGGAGATAAAATGGACAAAATTCACTTTTCAATTTGGTCACAGTGGTATACTTCTTTGACCACCATGACTCCGATATATTTGGCACCGTTATACCTAAATATCAATAGTGCCCTGCCGGACAACGAATAACTGGATTTTTATAAAAGAACATAGAGAAGATATCGAAAAACGGCTGTTTTTCAACGAAAGACAAACAAGCAACAAGCATAAGAAGTTGTAAAATAATTAGGAAAGTATTTAAGGACCAACGACCGCAAAACCTTTGCATGGAGTTTATCTAGAAAATTTCTGAGACATATTTCATGTAATGTACATTTTAATAAAGTATAGACTTTAGCAATAATGTGTTGATAAGGTGAAAAAAGAAAGGCTCATCCTTGATAGAAAGCTTTCATCGAGGTCAAAAATTGACCTGAGGAAGGAAGGGATCGGGATATTGCTGTAAAGGAGCTATCGAGAAAAGGTGGGGACTCTCAACACAGATACTGTTTTGGCTCTACGAATCCATAGTGAAGCCAATTTTGTCGAAAACGCTACAATTTCTTAAAATCTTAAACGTGTCCAAAGAGTGGCTCTCATCGGAATCTCTGGTTCGCTACGGACTACACCAGCAACACCACTTAATACCACTTTAAACAAAGCACATAACATAGTAAACATTGCCGGAACGTGTATTGCTGCGAAGTGTGTCAGGGAAGCTGGGTATACGAAGGGGTCGCTGCAAGGTCACGCTGAAATTTCCTCCTCCCAAGGGTCAATTTGGCCGCTGTAGAAGAGGTACAGTGAGCCGACTCATAGATGAGTCGAAGCTAGGAGGTAGGGTTGGAGGAGGAACCTTCTATAGGCAATTCTCCGTCACAGTGATGCGGTAGCCTCTGTAGTGTTTTTCATGCATAAGTGGCTGCTATCAGGGTGGAGATAGACGTACCGCTACGAAGCGAAATGTCTTTCAGGGAGGTCAACAGTAGAAATAGTTTGAACATATAGTACTTCAAGAACAACCACTTTAACAGAATCGTTTGGGTACCTGATCACAGCGGAATCGCTGGCATATTATAAAGCTGATGAACTAGCCAGAGGGGAGTACTTTTGTCCAGTTCACGTCGGAATGGGACCAGATTGGATCTGCATTGGCGTCTGGCGTTCTAGCACTTGCCTCGACGACCAGCACCTGTGCGATCACGAGTCCTTCTGCCTAGAGTAGAACGTCAGATATCTACTAAAATACTTGCCTTAACAGAAGTTCAGCCGCAATTCTTGGAGTTCTTACTGGACACGGACCAATAGGCATTCATGCGGTAAAGCTTAAAATCTTGTCAGAGTTGTATAGAGGTTGTCACTAGTTGTCAAAGTTGTATAGAGGAGGGTGAGATGGAAACATCTAGACGATTCCTCCGACTAAGGCTTAAACATCTCGATAACCTTAATTTCAGAGAACCAAAAGACATAGTGGAAACTGGCATTAACCGTCTTAGCAAATTTGTGATAGGCTCAAAATGTCTCTAAATTGTCGATCTGTAAGAGACTTAATATCTAGTTTTAGGAGCTTATAGAAATCCGGAGGGAAGTATTTCTGAATGTCAAAAATTGGCTGAATTTGGTCATTACTTCTCTTAGTCCCCGTATACCTAACATAAAAATTACCGAAGTTCGGGGTGAAATCGAAAAAGCGTGTTTATAATAGAGTATCTTTATGCCTATTCTGGATAAAATCGGGTGAAAACTTGGCCCAGCTCATATAAAACTAATATCAACATATTCGAACATCCGGCTGACTTTACTCCATCTGGATTGATGATGGTATGTGAGGTACCTATTATGTGGCATGTTAATAGTATGCGTTCCATATAAAATTTTCCCAGGAACTGAAGACATTTCTAAAAATAACAAGTAAGGAAGGGCTAAGTTCGGGTGTCACCGAACATTTTATACTCTCGCATGATAAAGTGATAATCGAGATTTCAGGCGTGGTT